AATAGGAGAAATGGGGCCTGGGCGTGGTCCGAAGGCCAGCCCACGTGTACAAGGACCAGGCAAATCCTAAAGTGACCGCCAAACGGCAGGTGGTTACATAAACAAAGCATTACAGGGCATACTAATTATAGAAGAGCAAGGGATTAGGTTTTGGACTGACAGTGTGGCCGGCTGGCAAGTGCATGATTATTACACAAGCAACTCTCAGGCACACACTTTATCACTTTAAAGGGCATTCCGCAGCCTCTTTGGCAGCAGTGCTTTGGTTACAAACGCTACAGAAAATGCGTGTAATGCTTGGTTTATTCGACTACCTGACGATGGGCTATCCATTTGGAATTTGTCTGGCCTCTGTACGCATGGGCTGGCGTTCAGGCCACGCTCAGGCCCCATTTCTCCTATTGTCTTCGGAATAAATGTATTCAACCCCACTTGTGCCTTCTTCTACAATATGGGATGCCTTGGGACGCTACAATGCGCTTCTTTATATCAGAAGATTTTTGGCGGAGTTAGCGCCATCATTTGCGAAGTGCCTTTATGTCACACTTATCCTAGTTCATTCCTTCTTTTTTGAACAATAGTGTAGTGCCTTAAGACTTCATATTAAAATATTAGATACCGGGATATTTGGCTAAAGCAATCATTTTTCCTAAAAAAACAAAAGCATCTGGATTGACATGCAGCCCTACCTACACCTCAGAAGCAATGCATCTCTATACTGAAAATGGTCCATTCACAGTCGAAAAAACAGTTATAATATACACAAACGCGTTTAATTTTGCCTTCAAAGGAAGAAGTAAGAAAGCATATCGACCACGTATTGAGCCCTTGAGGAGCGTGAGGAAACGTTCTCAGGCTGACATCAGCTTTCCGCCTCATCAATCCTTCCTCTTATTTTTTTATTCTGTACATGATGTCAAATAAAGCTTCCTCAACTACCCCTCTCTTGGAGTCCCAAGTTCGGGAGCTTGAGGTTAGACAGGCAGGCTGTAAATTATTTTTCCGTCTCGGATAGACGCGAGCGCTAATACATCGTTACACTATACTTGCTGCACCGATTTAATTTCACATTAGTTCTTTGAACGCCATACAAAGAAAGGCTCTCCTTTTCAAAATAAGTAAAATTGGTTACTTTTTAGTTTCGTTATATTGGATCTTCACCCCAGCTAAGTTTTTCGTTGAAGTGGGATTTTTGCAGTTGGACGAATGCTATGTTAGTTCTGGTATCGTTGCCATTAAATGCGTAAGGTTTCTTCCTCGACTTGTCTTAAGCGCGTTGTCTAAAATCTGGTCGTGGAATTTGTTTTAGGCGGCTCTGACTACCTTTGGATTACTGGAATTTTAGCGATCAAGTAGTATCCTTCATTCGTGCTCACAGGTTTTGATGCTCTCAATTTGTGAATGCTTGCTAGTGTAGAACCGATTTGTACTTCATGCATTAGAACTGCTTTTTTGGTCTAATGTTAGCCCCGTTATTGCGTCAAAAGGATTACTGAATGAACTCTACGTCATTTTAGAATTCTACTAAGTAAACACTGATCTCTTGCATGATATTTTTTAGCCTCAACTCGTGATTTCGTTTTGTACGTATCCATGGCATTGCGCCTAACATTGATTCCATTTTTCTCTTTTATGTACTCTAGCGAGTATACGTCTTGGCAAATTGTCTCCTGCTTGCAATTCTTCATGGTATGTTGTACGTCTCCCATCACTATTATTTAGCTTGTGCTGGTGATTGGGGACTTTCACATTCCGGATCGCAGTGTTTGCATTCACCCGGCTTTTAAGGCTCTCCTTTCACCGGGTAAAATTCATCATGTATGGTGCACTGGAAATTTGACAAGCCGTGCAATTTACGATCAACTGAAATTTATATGTGCCGACGTTCATGTCGTCAAAGGGGACTTCGATCAAGTAGGCTTCTATTTCGTAATTGTTACCTCGATCAAAGCTTCCTTTTCCGGAGACGAAAGTACTTACCGTTGGAAATTTGAAGATTGGTCTCACCCATGGGCACCAAATTGTGCCCTGGGGAAATCGTGCTAGTCTGTCGATGCTCAGAAGGCAACTTAATGTCGACATCCTCATTTCTGGGCACACACACGCTGCGGAAGCATACCAATACGATGGTGGTACCTTTCTGAACCCTGGGTCTGCCACTGGTGCTTTTACTCCTCTCCAAAAGTATGATTTTCCAAATCATATGGTCTTTTTCGAATCAGAATATCTTATGCACATTCACACCGTCACGGATAGTTAGACCACTTATTTCCCAAAGATGGCCATCATGGGTCCCCTAGAGTTATACGCCTCTTTACGAAACAGACTACTTTCTATCATTTATTCAGGGATCCGCAGGCTACGTTTATGCTGCTGGACATACAAGAAAGCACCATAAACCTCTACACTTACCGATTGGTCGGCGATGAGCACAAAGTTGAGCGAACTGAATTTCCTCGAGTGCAGTAGGCTACGTATGTCAATTGCTTACTAGACATGCTCCAACACTGATCTCCTCTTGTTTTTACTTTACTCATCGCAAAAATGATTTGAAGATGCATTTCTTTTACATAAACTTCATTTTGTTAGAACGTACATAACTATGCACAAATCTGTGGGAAGGCGATGTAATGGTTTAAAGACTTGAGCGTCAGTTTTATCACTGTGCGTACGTCAACTCCGCTTGATCTGCTTCTTAATCAAAGCTAGACGCTGTTTATGAGCCTGCAGGATGAATGGCCGTTTCAAGTTCTTCTCAACCGCGGGGAAGCCTGGAATGAATAGGTTCCAATCATGATCTGAAGGGAAGCATAGGAATCAAGGCATTAGTACGTGCTTGTCTAGTTGCGCTCGTATACATTTGGTGCTATTACTGCCTATTTCCAAGTTTTACCAGAAGGATACATCTTCGAGGAAAACACAGCCTCACAAAAACTATGATTCTGATTACGTTCTAGTAAAGGCAAAACGGAGTAAAGGCAATCAGTAAACGCAAGGTCTATGGTGGACTACTTACCGAGGCAGAATTTTACATCTCTGGCTTCAACAGTGGGAGATCCTCGATGAATCGCCATTTTTATGGACCGCTTAGCAACTTTCTCAATAAATTCCTCGGATAGGGTCGTGAGAGCCTATGCGGTAATAAGAGTAGGCACCAATTGAGGCAAGACTCACCCTTGCACCAATGCAAAGTTTTTACGCGGATAATGGAACTACTGGCAACAAAATTATACCTCTTCGGCTTCATCGTCTAGTTGTAAGTATGGGTCTGTCTCCTTCACCAACTCTAGCAAGGACTTGGTGTTGAAAACAGTCTTCTGTTTTTGCTGAGAGGAATCAGTAGGGGTCGTGATCACGGCTGCCGATTGGCTGACTGAGGGCGTAGAAGTTGGGAGGAGAGGAGCTGTTTCGGAGAGAGGGGTCGTCTTTGTTGTTGAATCAGACGCTGACACCACACCATTAGTCTGAGAAGAGGACTGAACATCCGCATTGACAACGGGAGCAGGAGCAACTACAATCGGTCCATTAATAGAGGTAGGCGCCGGAGTGAAAACGATGGGAGAGCCTGAGTTAACGGTGGTGGGGGCCTGACTTGAAACGAAAACGGCCGATCTGGGCGTTGAAACAACAGCAGTTGTTTGCTGTTGCGTCCACATCGTCGGGGCACTGCTAACCGAAACGACACTTCCCAAGTCAGGGGAGGGACCCACAGCTGACAGGGACACCGCGATCGACTGTTGGAGGGATGCTTCACTCATTTGTTCGTTGGATCCGTTCATGTTTCTATACTAGCTGTGGGAGCAACAATGCTATGAAATATGGGTGCCACTACAAGAGGTGTGGAGCATGACGCTTAAAAATTTTAGATAGAATAGTTAACCGACCGAGATACCATGCCATCTGGAATCCAATTAGAAACGGTGAATATGCAAAGGGCAGCCCAAAACACCCCAAGTTATAAAAATTGGCGTTAACATGAAGCGGAATCACCCTTGAGAAAAATTACCGAACAACAGCTTATTGCAATGTCAAATAATCATTTAAGTAAATAAAAAAAGCAGCAACGGTTGCGTCTGCCTAAGATGTTTCTCAAAGTCGAAGCGAAAAAAATGAACAGGGACTTTGCTACTAAAGCTGACAGAAGGCCGCTATGCATAAACCAAGGTCCCCTATATATTTCCCAAAAACCAAAGCTAAACATACCAGGGACACAGACAGAACACACACACAGAACACTCACTTCTGTGTGGATTGCAAACGCGTTCATTTGTTAGATAGTGCACTAGGGTGTCAGAAATACATGCGTTCATTTGATCACTTATACATCGCAGTCTTCCACAATTTAGTGCAGGAAAAAAGCCCAGCACAATTACTACTGCACCCAGTGCCTTATTCGCGTTGAAACATCACCATCATCCAAACCCTTATTTTTCATCTTTGTCATATGAAAAAGTGCAACAAGTCGTTTGTATAATAAAGTTTTTTTGTTCAAATGTATGTCATCTTGATTATTTATCTAACTACACTCATACCCACATGTTAGTAAGGATTTAATTATTAATCAGCATAAAGTTAAAAAAATTTTTGTAGACTATATTTTAGCGAGCATAACAGCCCATAAAACGAAAAATTTGGAAAGCCTACCTTATGCCACCAAAATGGATTATTGAAAGGCACGTCGAATTCGTGCATATGATAAATTCTCATCCTAAGTTCCTTTAATCCTTTTTACTTAATTATCCTTTAAGATATACCGCGTGTAACATATACTAGGGTGTTCAAGTGTATCTGTAATATGTACAAGATTGTTTAAGTGGACTTTTATAGGAGGGAGGCGGGGATCAATTTGAATGCGAGTTAGGTGGGGGAGAGTGCGGGCATTGAACCCGGTTGAGAGTTGCAACTCCTGGCGCTTAGCTAGTGCTGCGTCGCTGAGGCGGCTCAGTCTGCTGATCCTCATCTCCAGCAGTTGTTCTGCCAAGGTGGGTATATGCACACCCCTTTTGAAGTGGGCCGTTATCAATGAGGCAACCCGCAGTGGACAACCTTTGAATGTCTGTTTGGCTAATGACTGGAGATTCTTCATCACTTTCTCCAGGTTTTCGTAACCGATGGAAAAAGTCTGAAGCCAAATTTTTATCCTTTTCGGGGGAAGCGTGACACTCGCATCCATTGCTTCGCGACGTAGGTCGTAGGATAAGGCACTCGCTGAGCAGGCTCGTAGAGTTCGAGCTCTGCCTTTGTGAAGAAAAGCCAGTCATCGACATCAGTGCCTTTTTGAGGGGAGGGGTGTCGGCTGGCGCTGTCGCCAGTGTAGGGACTGCCTGTCTATTCTCCTGCTCTTGAATTACGGCCTTCAAGGGGGCTTAGTTACAGTTGATTTATTTGGCATTGGTTATAGGAGGGATGGGAATAGGAATACAGATGAGCCAAGTAGTCGGTATCACCCATGGGGGAATTCTTCACGCGCGGGGTTCGCGTCCCAGGTTGCTCCCCTCTTGTTCCTTTTAAAGGTACCTTCAAGAAATGGTACGTTATACTTCGTTTTAAGTGAAGTCGAAATGTCGTGTTGTAGCAGGTTTGTAATGCTCTAGGGTTTGTCTGACTCTCGTATACGTGGGTTGGCCTTCGGGACGTGGTCAGGCCTATTTGCCCTGTCGTCTTCGGAATACACGTATTCGGCTGCACTTACCGACTTCTTATTATCGGCTAGGAAGTCTCGTGATGCTACAAGGTTAAGCCGAAAACAATTGTGTGGGCACAAATCAAGAGTTATCTATTGATCGGTTACGTGAATGCGTCCATGAAATGTACTGGCTGTTACATTTTGGACGCCTATCGCACTTCCATTACCTCGTTTATTCGGCTGATTGTATGGCTGACCGGCAGTATGTTTTTACCTTGTCCTTGTCTGTGTGACTGGCCTTCAGTCTAAGGCAGGTCATTCTATTTCTCCCTTCACCGAATACATGTATACGGTTCCAACTAATGCTTCCTACTTTTTAATGGGCAGCTTTGGAGCACTACGGTATTAGCACTAAGACGTTTACATACTTTAAGCAGTCTAGGCAATCTAGTGTTTCGCATTAAGTGATGGTGGAGATAAGATGCCAGTAAATTTGTGCGCTACTATGTGGGTGGTATTTAGGCTCCTTTCCGATATTGTAGTCTAGCCCACAATCTTTTCCACTGCCTACTCTCCTGTCCTTGAATCACTGACTTCAAGAGTGGGTTGGTTGCAGTTGACTTATTTGGTACTAGATACAGGAAAAAAAGGGGATTGGAATGCAGATGGGCCGAGTAGGATATGTCAATCGAAGAGAGACCCCTCACTGTCCTCGCGCACGTGTATCACGTTCCCAATCGGTTCCTGTCTCTCTCCTATAAAAGTCTACTTAAATAATCCAGCATATATTACAGTGTTCCCCGTGGTAGCCATCTTACTTCTCATTTGACCATGTTAAAGTCTCTCCTTTCTCCTTTCCGTCCAAACATAACATTCCCACCAAATCTTATGTCTTTCCTTACCTAATCAAAAGCCATGTGGCGCTGTATTAGTCTTTACCGACCTCAAGACTAGAGTTTATGAAAGCAAAGCGGGGCAGATCTTGATTACTACGTACTCCTGCGACAGAACCCTTTTTTCTTATTTTGGGTAGGTCAGGTTGTGTTTCGTGCCCATCAAATTATTTAATATGATAAATGAATTATGTTTATCTGTAACATTACGAAAAAATTGCTGTCTCACATCGAGTGAGTCCTTAGATGATCCCCTACAATATACCTGCCACTAAATATTAGATCTTGTCGAGGACTTAGCCGACTTTGTATAGCACTGTATTCCGAATGTTCACCTGTCATTCATGCTGCTTTGTGACTGCAGTGTATGCTTGACGTAATCAGCAAACTTACGCCAGGACCTATGATGTCCAAGCCCAAAATCGGGGAGTTTATAAAGTGCAATCGTGGGTTCTCTTGCAATTTTAAGTGCATTGTCTGCTCTCTCACGATAAGAAAGCAGGCATTTTCAGGTATATGCACTGTTGTACGATTGTGATGCCCAAGTGCTCTGATTCCAATCCCACAGCCTCTTCCCATTGCATTGCATAAATGCTACAAGCGAGTCATCTCATCAAAGCTCGGTAAATGTTTTTCATACGTATCACATTTTTACTCCCGAACGCAGTGCCCACCAACGGCGTTGCTGGGGTGACTTAATCAGTACATATCTCCCAACTTGAGAGCATTGAGCACTTTCGCGTTTTAATCTTCCATCTATCCCAAGCGCGGTCTTTAAACAGGTCAATAGTTGTAAATCTCCGGCTCCTCTTCGACAAGATAAATCAATCTCCACTTCCTTAAAATGGTTGACTGATGAGCCAATCAATGAGGGCGCAATGTCAAATATCGAAGCATGAAAGTTAATTTGTTGGCTGGAAACATGACTGGCCGTGACTGATAGCCTGATAGCCATAGTACCACTTGAAGACTGAAGAGTCAGCTTAGACAGATTTGATAGATCTTATTCAAAACACAAAGTAACGTTTTGAATTAGCTGTAAATTGCAGTTCAATGGACAACTTCCAGTATCATCTTCAAAATGTCGCGATACAAGTCTAAGTAGCCTTTGAATTCATTCAATTTAAAAATTCACAAAGAATTACCGCAAGTGGATGATATTAAACAATTCGTGACATTACTAGATTTCGATTCAAGTCAGTCATCACACAACAACTGTCCATCCTGCAAGATTGTATTTATACCTCGACGATAAGAAGCCTTGGATACAAGTGTGCCCTGTATAGTAGGAAGTTGAGAATCCGACTGCATCATGGAACGAACATTCTTCATTAATGCTGTGACCGACTTTCGACCATCATTCCACGTGAAAAGTCACGTTTCAACATCCATTTATCTCAGTTACCTTGTCAGTGAGAAGCAAACATTATCAGTGATAAAAACAGGTAGCATTTGATTGCGAAAATATAGCTCCACATGTGGTTTAGCGATTAGTTCTCAGCTGTTGGCATCAAAATATTCTTGAGGCAGCACTAGTCGCTCTTATTGCAGCCACTTGGGTGACACAGAAAGGCATCACTAATGAAGGCGGTAGTCTAATAGCTCTCACTGCTGCGTCTAGCGCATTCAACAGATTACAAAGTGATTCTAAAGGATATCGTATTGACTCAGGCACTTGGAAATGGAGGGCGCATTAAATTTCACATCAACCACTTTCAGGCATGAGATATCGAGGGGCGTAAGCCGGTGAGGACATGAAAATCAGAAGATTTTGTGTGTTTACGGTACCACAAATAAATTTTTACAAATCTGAAACTCGCCTCAAATGCTAGCACTAGTGATACAGAGAAAGCATCTGCAATGAAAGCCAGATTTTGCCCATTTGAGGATTATAGGATTTCAAACTTTATCAAATGCGATGCATGCTAGAATATGTGCATCACATCGGGGGTCGTGAAAAGGGACATATCTGTGTCTGCATACTGATAAACAAATGAAGTCAGTTTTGTGTATTCAATTCTCTCATCATGAAAATAAAGCAAGAATGGAAATTCAAATTCGAATTTTATAATTGGGACGCAAGATCTTTTGTGCAACGTTCTAGTACATTGGAGTCGATTCCATCCAAAGCCGTTCAAATACAAAAAACACCTAATAAACTACCTCTTATCCCTAAGATTAGGGCAAACTAAATGTGGTAAATCGCGATGAAAAGAGCGTGTATGGTGAAACTGAAAGATCTCATGCTGCACATCGGCACGACAAATTCATGGGATTTGTGACAATCGGCTACCCCATTGCAAATGAAAGAGACGATCTCCACTGTGTGGAGTGTCTTATAGGTCCACGTCGCCCCATTTACCCTGCGCCACTGACCCCAGCCTTAACCATTACTGTAGTTCAAACGGCCGTCGGTTTCATGCTCAATAAGTAGGCTATGACTACTTCACGGGAGATTTCCTCCAAACCGTTACCGCTGAATTGTCGTGAAGGTTATTAAAAGTCAACCATGCATGAAACCTAAAAATAGTAACATAATCCGCATCGTCTCAGACCAATACAATTGATAAGGTAAAACTATGACCGAGATTCCGCACTTCTCTAAGAGCTAAACAAATCGACGCACCAAACCTTAGAAAGATGAGTTGAAGTATCAAATTTGCCGCCAAAACAACCCCTCAATCGACACAGCGCGTACGCCCAAGCCTCGAATAGTTACAACCCGTCATGGGTCAACCCCGGTATGACTCACCCCGCCGGTCCACGCAGATTGACCCGCGCCATGGCTCTAGTCGGCGTCTACAAACCCTTCGAGGAACAAGCCCCTATTCGTTAGTAGATGAGAACCTCGAGAAATTCCACTTCTCCTTCCCTTCTCTCCAAAATCCTAACCTTGAGAGCACATATCGCTACCACTTGAGTGCAAGTCGAGTTATCTCGGAAACGCAAATCCGACGGTCAAAAGTCTAATTATGATCAATGCTTTAACAAATCAACACAGAATCGACGCCAGCTCCAATTTAGTGTTGAATAACTCTTAAACAAAATGAATGCGATTCCTGGTGAGCATGAATTCATAAAGTGATTATCAAACACTACCAGCGGTATGATGTCGGGACGAAACGCTGGTGGCAAAGCGGCATGCACAAGTGAGGGAAGACGGACAAGACTAGAAGAGCACGAAGAAACGTAGAATACAGAAGTTAAATACGTGGAGGTAAGGAGGGAGCCAGATAATTGCAAATGGGTGTGAGCGACTACGCCACAGGAATAGCAGTTGGCTCCGAAGCAAGTCCTGCAGGTGCTGAATTTTCTGCTGCCTTTAGTTTCTTACCACTCTGTTCACTGTCATTCTCACCGACTTCGCTTTTGGGCATCCCATCAGTAGCCTTTCCATCCTTCTCTTCTGCCAATTTGTTGCCATCAGGTTTGCTGGCTAACTCATCCAAAATGTCACGGAAACGAGACCAATGGTGTTCAGGAATGGTAACCGCCGTCCTGTAATTGGCCCGCAATTCAGATATGCGGAGAAAGACACCATAGCGATTAGAGCCAACATCAAAGTAGAACGTCTTGTTGCCCGCAAACAATACCTTTGCCTCCGGTAGATCAAACGTCGCAGCTAAAATCGGAAACACACCTTAACCTGAAAAAATTTAGGCAGTCAAATTTATCGCGAGAAAATAGATGGAAAGGGTGTTGCCCTACCGCCTACTACCATGTGGGGTTTCCCTAGGTTATTCAAAACTACCAGTTATCAACACTAATGCAAACGAAGATTTACATCTCCAAACACTAATTTATAAGCCAAAACAATGTAGAAAATAAATAACGAAAGATGCTGAACACACCCAAATCATCATCGCTGCAATGATCGTTGATAAGCTCCGCGATCCCATTACACATGTCCGATATTCCATCCGATGGCAAAGCTATTTGTACGCGAACACCCATGGAGAGCATTGACATCCTGAGGAAACGACCACGCTCGTTCTCCCTGAGGTCAAGGTAGTAGCGACGATTATCCCTCACAATAGCTTCCGATTCAATTAGGCCATCAGCGGCCAGCAATTTGGGATCATGTGGTGGAAGCTTGTTAAGAACACCAAGCAGCTTTTCCAACTTTTCTCGAAGTTCTTGCGCAGCAGGGATAGACATCAGAATTCGAGACTTTTGACCACCCACCGCGACCTCGGTGATCTTTATGAACCGACCACGAGAATTCTGCTTGATATCAACGTAAAAGCGCTTATTCTGAATTTGTATAGTCTTAGTGGCCAATTCTTGCTCCTCGATTTGTGGCACTCTCCTGCGCTGATCGTTGTTTCCAGACATTGTTACCACTCTTGCTTTCACTTAGCGTCCAAGCTACAAACCAGCACCAAATTCGCCCTAAAAAAATAAGACTTCTACGACTGATGTCATGAGCAGACACGCCGCAAAATAAATTCCTAGGTTTGAGCATAAGGAAACAACTGTTATAGGAAGCATAGGCAAAGGCGACGAAAGCCAAGAATATTTAAAGCATCTGGATGAGGACATTCAACTCTGACTTCAAAAAAACGTAGAATAAAACAACTCAGAAGGTAAGCGTGAAACAAACCTGTGCAAGAAGACAATGGCCTATAACGCAGTCACAATCTAATGAAACACTAAAACAAGGCTAGGTGAAGGACCTTGCAAACCTCTGTCAAAAAGTATAACAAATTCTCGTATCTTAATGCCGCAGCGAAACTTTCCTTGTTAGAATGCGAAAAGCTCGATGACTAAAGCTTTGCGTAATTACTTGTGCGCAACAAAAGCATGTCAGACGTTGAAATTTTAAAAATTTAGCGTTGCTTAGAAAGCCCAGTGCATCATTGTCAATTTTTTTTTAAAGTCGAAGCGTATATTTCAATAAATAGTGAATTTTGCAACCAATCTGCTTTGGCAAAAAGAAAATGGATTTAATGCGTTCTTGCTCAGAAGAATTTTCATTCAAAGGCTTAAAGGACGCCTACGCCTACATGCAATATTTTACTTCGACTTTTAAACAATCAAGATATGAATCGAGCAAATCTGTTCCGTCACATATTTTGGAGCTCTGCGACTGTGATCTATTCCAGAAATCATGAAGCTTGAGGACTCTACCTGTAGATATTGCACATGCGCTAAGTCTTGAGACCTGCTGATGCCCCCCAAGACTTCCCACTAGGCAGAAAAAGGCATTAAATTGGGCTGAATACATGTTTTCTAGGGTAAGAAGGAAGGAGTGAACCGTGACTTGACCCAGAGGCCACCTCACCCCTACAAGGTGTAGCGTTCCGAGATTTCCGCCAGATAGAAGCAGTAAGTAAAGCTGCATACATGTATTCCAAAGAGAACAAAGTAACTAGGACTGAGCTTGGCCCGAGGACCAGCCCACTAGTACGAGAGTCAGACAAATCCTAAAGGTGACCGCCAAACGTTAGATAGTCACACAAACAAAGCATTACAATGCCCTCTTCTTTCGGACGACGTCTTCTGCGGTCACCTTGGTACACCTCCTGCGCCAGCAATCACAACATATTCGGTACCACATGAAAGCACCCACGAGCCAACCGCGCCAGTCACCAGCTCCCATGCGACTGAGGAACCGTTCCTGGTCTCCTCAACAGCTCCAAATGGGTCTGGAGTTACGTCCAGTCTGACAACCAAGTTCGGGACCGCACACATCTGCTGACCATCAATTGCTTCGAGGACTAGATGGTAGAACTCCGGTCTACAACAGATGTGTTACAAGGAAAACAGGATAAGCCACTGTCCCGTATAGAAGGAGGACGGTAGTGTCATTTCCAACACCTATATACGGGTTTCTAGGAGAAATCCCGACACAATACCTATCCCCATGGTTCCAGTTGTTAGTAGTGTATCTGTGGAACACGAGCATAGGGGGAAGCCAAATGCAGACGCCAGTGTCAACCCCTTCGTTGTGAGGGGTTCAGAGATCCTCCGTCAGCGATGCAAATGCGCCTCCTCAACACCGTAGGTACATGCAGTAAACTCTACTGCTAGGATAAAAGTCACTGGATAAATGTTGGGTTCGCTTTCCACTGCCACCAGTGTAGCGTCCCGAGACTTCGTACAGGGAAGAAGTCATCAATAGGAGCTAAATGGACAAACCTTAAAGTAGCTGCTGAACATCAGGTAGTAGCATAAACAGAGTATTACAGAAATAGGCTCAAAGGCGTAAGTGAGGTTTAATACATGTATTCCGAAGACAATAGGAGAAATGGGGCCTGGGCGTGGTCCGAAGGCCAGCCCACGTGTACAAGGACCAGGCA